AGAGTGAGATGTTAAGATCCTGTTTGATATTCCGACATATTAATAAACAAAACCTAATACGCGGTTTAAGACCTGGTCATCACCTGAGATCGTATTGTTTAATAAACATTACTCGGGTTTCAAGATTTATTTATTTATTTATTTATTTATTTATTTATTATTACAACACCTTACAATATGACATCTTACAGTTTATTCCAATACAATATCACATTTCCTGACATATTTAAGTCCAACATGTAACTTAATTAATAAAAATTTTACCTTAATTATTAGACTTATAAGAGTTACATACTCTCAGTATGGCATACTACATATTATAACCATATAGACACAATTACTCAATACGGTGATATTCAATATACCTTTGTACTGCTTCAATAAACCTTGGTAGGTTGTGGAACAAATCATGTTCCGGTACACTATTTATAATCCGAACCGCACGCGAAATAGGAGCATATTTAAGAAGATTAGTTCTAGCCCTTGGCACCTCCAACAGGGCGGGGCGGCGACGAGCCCCCACGTATCCGTCTGGCACACGCAATCCCAACATCTCCAGCACTTCCGGGTGATGGACCAATCCTCGTAGTACCCTGGCTATATATTTAACTCGGATCGGTATTATAGATCGGTATTAGGATGGTTATCAAGACCACGATTGTTAAGTTCAGTCGACCCTGGACTTAATATCGTGAACTCGTACCTAAGTATTTCGCGGGAACCATGAATATTGAGAATATTATTTCCGAAATCAATTATTATGATGAAGTCGACTAATACGATGATATTTTATGGCCTTTTCAAAATCTATTAAGTACCTACCTAAAGTTTATATAAGGGACGCGACAAATCCCTTCGAATTACCTACGCAAAACGGTTTCGATTTAATCAAGAATCAGTGCTGTTGATATCGTATCGTTGATAAGTAATAATTTGGTAAAAATTGATAACAGAGGGCTGCCAGTTGCACCAGAAATTTCAGTCTTGCTTACTTTGAGGTTTTACGCTACAGCATCCTTTCAGGTAAATTATTTTGATCAATTGAATTGTAAACATAGTAAAGTTAAATTTGTTATGTATGTTAAACGATTTATTTATAATGACAAAAACTTTCAATTTGTGTGCGGGGATCTCATTTATTTATCTCAGCCTACAGTATCAAACGTCGTTAGAAAAGTATCACGACTGCTAGCATTACTCCATAAAACCTATATTAAAATACCTACAGGAGATCAAGCTAGATCGAATATTAATAAGTAACATAACATCACGCCTTTTATCCCCGAAGGGGTAAGCAGAGGTGCACATTATGCCACTGTACAATGTAACACCCACTTTTCACTATTTATGTTATGAGTCCCATGTAATAGGGGGTGAGCCTATTGCCATATACTGGGCACAATTCCAGACTCCGTGCTACTACTGATAATTTTTAAAAACCCCAGCAGTACTTTGCCCGACCCGGGAATCGAACCAGGGACCCCTTGCCCGGCAGTCGCACTTGCGACCACTCGGCCAACGAGGCAGTCGATTAATAAGTAACTTGTAAATAAAGACGAAACACTGATATGTATGATTGTATTATCAAGTACCTAATAAACATTTGAGAGAAAGAGACAGATATAATAATGAGGTGACGCGCAATCCCTGGTAGGTATGTGCTTTTGTCACAAAATTAAACGTAACTTTATAATAAATAGTGCTTTTTTATGGTCAAACAAATCATAATGTATACAATATAAAAAATTAATATAGTTTCCTAAAACTTCAATTAATTCAAACTGGAAAAAAACTTTTATTCCTATGTATACAGAGTTGAATATTATCGTTCTACAAAGCTATTACTAAACGGAATGAGCGAAAGATGTAATAGTTCGTTCGCTGTGACGTAACAAGTCTTAATATCAGGATTTCATAGAGTGTCAAATTACGAATCTTGATAACCCGATCCAAACCGCGGTATCACCTGAGATCGTGTGGATATAGGTTTATTAATTAGCGTCGACATTAAGATGCTGATCGCATCTTGAGAACGTATCAACTGATGCCGGTCTTGATATCGTGATTGAGACTTATTTATTAATACGGGCCTAAGTCCCTGATCATGTCAGAGGAGCAACTCGGCACAGCAGGAGGGGTTTTAGCCGGTAAGAGTCCGGCAGTACTCACACCTCCCTATTCGTGGGGAGGTGTGAGTCTCCATGAGGATTTCCCCTCCTGCTGTATAATAAAAAAAAAAAAAAAAAAAAAAAAAAAAAAAAAAAAAAAACCTAACCTAACCTCAGACAGACAGACAGACAGACAGACAGACAGACAGACAGACAGACAGACAGACAGACAGACAGACAGACAGACAGACAGACAGACAGACAGAAAGACAGACAGACAGACAGACAGACAGACAGACAGACAGACAGACAGACAGACAGACAGACAGACAGACAGACAGACAGACAGACAGACAGACATCAATGTTCCTGGAAGGTTCTACCGCTACGTGTTCGTGTTTTTTTTATAGAGGTATAATATATTGTAGTATTTATGCAGTATAAGTATTTGTTTAGTAGTATATATTATATGGTATGTATATGTCTATTTATAAAATATTGTATTAATATATTTATTCTATAGGTATTTATGTGTGTAGTATACATATTACATAACTTTTTTTTTTTTTTGTTTGTGTTCTGGCTTCGCAACCACTTCATTTCTCTGCACTTCCCTATGGTTGACTGTAAGAGAATGCCTAAAGGCATTAAGTCCGCCATTCACGGTATTTTGTGAAGAAGAAATAAATAAATAAATAAATAAAATTAAGGAATTTAACAGCGTGAGCAAGCAACACGATTTTGACCTTTTCAACCGACTTCAAAAAAAGGAGGAGGTTCTCAATTCGACCCCTATGTTTTTTTTTTTTTTTTTTTTTTTTTCTATATTTGTTACGCGATTACTCCGCCAATTATGAACCGATTTGAAAAATTCTTTTTTCGGCGTATAGGTAATACCTCAAGGTTGGTCCCATTTAAATTTACTAATAAAAATAACAACCCCCAAGGGTGGAAAATAGGGGATGAATTTATTTATACGCAATAACTCCGCCGATTTTAAACCAATTTGAACGATTATTTTTTTATTGAATAGGTATTATCAAAAGGGTGGTTTCATGCAAATTTGAAGAAAATATTTCACCCCCAAGGGTGGAAAATTGGGGGATGATTTTTTTATACGCAATATCTCCGCCGATTATGAACCAATTTGAACTATTATTTTTTTGTTGAATAGGTATTATCAAAAGGATGGTTTCATGCGAATTTGAAGAAAATATTTCAACCCCCAAGGGTGGAAAATTGGGGATGAAATTTTTTATGAAAGTCTAGAAGTCCGCTGCTCATCACTCTCCTTTAATATATTTTTAGCATTTCTTTCTCTACTTTCTTTTAAACGCACTTCCCTTTCTTCTTTTGTTTCCTCCAAACGGCGCTGTCTCATTAAGGCTGCGCGTTTAGTAGGCCTACCCATATTAAATGCACTAAGGGTATCTACAAAAAAGTAACACTAAAAATTTTAAAATAAAATAATTAACTTTTTAAAAAAAATAAAACCGACTTCAAATGCGAGAACACAAAAAAAAACTAAAAATTAAAAAATAATTCCTAATACCTATTACCTAATACTATAATTTTTCTAAACTATATCAAAGTAATTAAAGTTAAACCATCTAAATATCTTAAAATAGTTATACTTATATACCTACCTATTGTTTTTTGGAGTCGGTGCCAGTAATAAATGAATATTAAACCTAATGAAATAAGAAAAAGTACTCAATGAAACAAAAATATTAAGAAATAAGTTGTATGTAGCCTGGTACAACTAAACCTATACCAACAAAGAATAACAAATACCTACAAATCCTACAATAGAATACAACAAACAAAAAAGAAAGCAATAATTTGAAATATTGCGCATCCGAAAATTCAGTATATTTGACACGAGCGTCAACGTAGTCTGCCCTCAAGCGTCTGCCCGCCTTCGGGTCGCTTACTCGAGCAAGACCGCACGCGCCCGCGTCCCCCGCCGCACCGCGCGGCCCCGCCTCGCGCCATGCGTCCCCCGCCACCGCGTCGCACGTCTCTAGTTCGCGGGTAAACTTTAATACGCTGGCACTGGCACCGACTCCAAAAAACAATAGGTAGGTATATAAGTATAACTATTTTAAGATATTTAGATGGTTTAACTTTAATTACTTTGATATAGTTTAGAAAAATTATAGTATTAGGTAATAGGTATTAGGAATTATTTTTTAATTTTTAGTTTTTTTTTGTGTTCTCGCATTTGAAGTCGGTTTTATTTTTTTTAAAAAGTTAATTATTAACAATAAAGTGTCTACGGTCAGGGAGGTGCCTGAGCCTTTCCTTTTTTAAACATCATAATAGGGAACGCGATTGAACTAATATTATGCAAGGTAATTTGTCTGTGCAGTGTTCAGATGTTTTTATTCGTTATTTGTACTTTGTTTCTTTCGATTTTGTTATTGTTTATTATCATTTATATTTATTATCATTTTGTAGGGAGTACTGTGTCGACTACATTCTTTTATAGTGTAGGTTTGTTTTCTTATAGGTTATAGGTGAAGACTTGTCATTGGCTGTCAGACCGTCACACAATTTCTTACTTTTTGTTTTGTAAGCCGTTAGTCTTCCAAACATGTTAAATACATTAAATTAAATTATCTTTTCTAAATCCGGTTTAAAAGGAAAATAAAATAATCGTAACTTTTATAAACAATCGATTTATTTCGTCTCTATCAAAAGAAATTCGACATTTTTTCGATCGTGTCGTTTCGTCGTATAAACTATAATATGTATGTATATTATTTACAATATCATTAAAATTACGTTTTGTGGGGATCCAAGACGCCGGAAAATACAAACGGACATTTATGACATCTTTGGATCACCGTAACAAATAAATTATAAAAAGACTAGCTCAGAACGCCACCCCTAGCGTGGCGGCGGAGGCCGGGGCTTCGCAGTCGCATACGCAATCTCCGACAGACGCACGTCTATAGGCGCGCGCTCATCGTACAGAGTCGGCGCTTGTAGGATGATGCCGGCCGACCCCACCACCACGGCCAGCGTAAAGATCCACAGGAACAGTCGATCCAGCACCATCGCCACATATTTCCAATCCTCTTTCACCTGTAAAACATAAAAACGATCAAGTCACTCCAGAAGTCCAGACTCTACTGTTTAATATTTCGCGTTGCCAAAACGTCTGAGACTAGTATCTCACCCTAGTAGACTCCTCCTCCTTCCGCGTCTGTTCGGCAATGTAGTTGATGCCATCGATGGCCTTGTTTAACTCGGGACAGCGATGCCAGCGCCGCAGTGCGTCACACAGCGCGGGCGCGTCGTGCAGGTGACACGAGCGGCACGTGGCACACGCCGGCACGCCCGGCACGGCGCCCACGCCGCCGAGCGGCGAGCTCTCGTCCCACGGCGTGCTCTCGCTCACTGCAGTCACCAGCCCTGCACTAGAGGTTGGGCGCATGCGTCACGCGCGGCACACGCGGCGAACAGTTACGTCGCACACATGGCGCAGTACTCACAAGCGACTGCGGTGCGGATCGACGCGGTAGTGCGGGCGGCGCATCACGAGTAGGCGCGGCAGGACGTGGATGAACACACGCCGGACCCACGGCGCCATCGTATGGGTTTGCGGTGACCGGAAGTGCACGTTCAACACTACCACCGTCACGCATATACTGCATAGTATTACAAAAATAAGATTAGATGTTGGTCGCGGCTCCAAGAGCGGCTGTCGGCGCGAAGGTTAGTACCTGAACGTGTCGAGGATCATGGTGAACAGCACGAACTTGCCGAGCAGAGGTACGACGAGTGACGTTGGCGGGATGATCTCAGCCAGCAGCAGGAAGAACACGGTGAGCGATAGAAGGATGGAGATCGAGAGAGACACCTTCTCGCCGCTGTCAGAGGGAAGGTAGAAGACCAGCACGGTGAGGAAGGAGATGCCCATACAGGGGATTATGAGGTTCACCGTGTAGAACAGAGTCTTGCGCCGCATCGTGATATTGAACGTGATGTCCAGGTACGGCTCGTCGCAACACGTGTAGAATTTTTCGTTTCTGCCAGACAGAGTACAGCTACCATTAATGGAGACCATCCACACTATATTATACATTGATGCAACTAGAGACCCACAAAATATCTATCCTTATAAAACAACATGTCCTAACTAACTGATTCATCATCGTCGACCCATTCATTATCCACTTAATTATGTAGCCAACCACTCAGAAGGAATAAAAAAAATGAATGTTTGAAGGAATTTAATAAAAGTTAGTTTAAAAAATAAAAATCTCCAAAATATTGACCTCGGTGCCGCGTCCTGCCCCGTATTGCTTCGGAAATTATTTTTTATCTTTTTTTCTTTCAGTGTAAGCGAGGGGGATAGTGCTACACCAACCATTTCATAAATAAGTTCCGCTTCTTTTGAACTTGGTACAGATAATATTTTAACGAAAGCCCCGACATCATATCTTCTAATCTTTAGTTCTTGCATCACTTGATCGATTCATATAAATGACTGCGAGAATATTTGTTCGAGTAATACAGACTGTCAGTCGCACCGTATCGGTGGTATATCGGTGAATAACAACGTCTGTACGTCTCCATGCCACTCTTTTATTAAGGTTTTTATTTTTTAAGGCGGTAAAATCATCGAATTACTTCTCCTGCCTAGGTGAGGCAGGAGGGAGTGTCAGACTTTCACTGACTAAAAACCACCCCGTTCCTACTCCTGCACTTCGAGCCGGAGCCCCGGTAACCCGTTAAGTTCTCCGCGGCTCCGTCTCAGCATCAGCCCTATTGGGCCCCATCTGTGGTGGTCTGATGGCTCTTTGAGGCGCGAGCGGAACGCGACGCGCCGTACGCTCGGGTCTGTTTCTGGTTGGACGGGGAGCCACCCATGCTCGCCGTCCGCAGGCCCGCGCTTACGGTGGCCGGAGATCGTCTCGCGATCCCCGACGCCCCGTGTGTCCTTCGCGATGGCTGGGTTGTGAGGAGGCAGCGCTTCGCTGCTTCACGCGTCCCGCCTCCTCCTTAGCTAGCATGACTGCTTCGCAAAAGGAGGAGACGGCATCCCAGTCCCCCTCGCTCCGCATCATGGCCCGCACTAGGCCAGGACACGGCGGTGCTCAGCCCACGCAGGGCATTCCGCTACAATGTGTTCCACCGTGTCCTTAGGGCGGTCCTCGCAGTGATGCCACCCGGGCGTTTCCTCCCGCCCCATCAGACACAGGTACCTCCAGAAACTTCCATGTCCGGTGAGGACCTGCGTCAGGCGGTAGGTGAGGACACCGCTGCAATGGCAGCGAGCCCAGCCCTCGGTTGCGACAGTCGTTGCTGCCATTCCGCCATGAGATCGCGGACTACACCTGGGTTGGGCCATCTTAGCAGACTACACTTGGGTTGAAAAACGTCTCGTAAAAATACAAAACAAATAAAAAATAATAACTCTCTCGTATGATTCGCTGATTCTCGCGTGATAGATGAATTAAACTGTCAAACACCAAGCGGTCACCGGTGACCGCAACCTATTGTTCTTTAATTGTGTCTATAAATACGGTACTCGACGAGTTAAGAATTTTTATTGTGTACAGCAAAAAGATATGTTTTAAAAACATTAAGATAATGGATTTTGTAAAACGGGTATTGTCTTGACAGGACCAATGTCAGGCAAAATGTCGCATGAATATAAAATGGCGATGCGTTGGTATTGAAAGCCACTAGCTCTTTGTGTAGGGCGCTAATAGAACAAACCTGCGAAGTTTCAAATGTTTCGGATTATCATAGCTGTATTTTTGTTAAAGTAGGCCATCTTAGAAAGCGGGCCATTTTTGACGACTGAACCTTATGATTGACATAATGTAGGTAAATAATTGTCCATTTTTAAATTTAAATTTATCTAAGTAAATTGCTAATATACCTAGAGAGGCCGATCTCCTTTCCTTTCATTTAATTTTATATACTACTTACTTGATATTTTATTATAACACAAGTACCTGACGGCTGGTACTTCGAGAATGTCCCACTCCACGGAAGTGTAGAACTCGGACAGGTCGACCCCCAGCTCCACGACATTTGTGCCACGCGCTTCGTCGATATGCCGAAGGTCCACCTGCACAATATGCGTCGAACTAGTACAAGTAGTGCTCACTCGTGTCGACTGACTTGAAGCTTTTTACGTGGAAGGCCCATAGTTGGGTATAAGCGAAAGGACGGCTTGACCCAAGGGATGCTACGACCCTATAGAGAAACAGTGCTTGTGTTGTAGCATGTGAGGCTCCTCGGATTGCACTGCACCATCAAATCAACTGAAGTCTCCAAATCCCCCAAACGGCCGACGATGCACTTGTAACTCCTCTGGAGTGATTGCTTGCCACCTGGTGGTCCATCAGTTGGTATGCCCCTATCAATTACAAAGTTATAGATTGTGATTTCTTACCTGGAAGCCGTCGTACGTCCATGAGCCGAACTTCATGACACAAGTCTGTTGGTCGAAGGGGAAATATTCGACGTCGATCTCACAGGAGGACTTGTAGATTGCAGGCGGACGCCACTCCACGCGACCCGTGTAGTTGAGCGTCGCCTTTGTCGCCAGCGTCACCTCGAAATTGCCATCCGCACTGTGGAATTAAAGAAAGTTAATAGGCACCTTGTGAATTAATCATCTACTGCGCAACGGCTCGTACTGACTTGTTATAGAGAACTATATCGGGCCGCCAGATGTGGTCTGAGGGTACATGCAGCATCTCGACTCCGCCGTATTCCCGCGGCTCCCACGACAGCTTGTAGTCGTACCAGCTCTGTGAACACAACGTGTGACTTATGACCAGCGCGCCAGTAGAGGCACCGGGCGAGGCGCGCGGCGGCGGCGGCGGCGACTTACCTGCTCCACCCACAAGTTAGTCGTCATGATCTGATTCTTCAGGTTCTGTAAGAGAAACAAAGCTCATGAAGCGAAATGTGCGGCGTGAGATAGAATTTCGTGGTCGAAGTTAGTACTTCGCTGGGAGCTCACCACGTCGATGAGCTGGCTCAGCTTGAGCTTGATGCGCACGGTGAGAGCGTCGCTGACGTTGAGCACGGGCCGCACGAGCTTGTTGTAGTTGCTGAGCAGGTCGTCGTAGAGCCGCTTGGCGTCGGGGTTGGCGGCGCAGCCGGCGAGCGCGGCCAGCGCGGCCAGCAGCAGCAGCGGGGCCGCGGGGTGCGGCGCGGCACGGCGCGGCATCTCCGCCCGCGCATGGCGTCAGCGCATCGCGCCGCCACCGCGCGCCGCCTGCCCGCACTCTGCACGTAACACCCTCCATTCTACACACTATATTTTATCTACTATCGTATGTGTTTTAGAGCGTGCAATAAAGAATACATAATTATATATTAATACTACATCCGCCCTTCACCTATAGTAAACGGGTGCGGGAGCGGAGACCGTTGTTTCAACAACTCGTTCCATACTTCGGTTCTCAGCATGAGCAAGAAAAAGGAATTGTACCGAAAGGGCGTAATTAGCATATATTATTTTGTATACTTTAAGTCGCTAAATTGCTTAAATCAACAGTACAAATAAAAAAATGGAATCATTCCTTAGTAGTAGAGCTTAGGGATAATCAACTTGATCATCTTACAACGGAACCTGATCAAGACCTTTAGCTTTCTTTACAAAATGTCGCTCTGTAGGACGATATTACTTAGTTTGAAACGGTGTTGGTGGTATACGGTCTATTTGGTTTACCAAAGTGTATTTAGTTATTAGTACTTATACCCCACAATAATTAAATAATAATAAATAAGTTAAAACACTAAAACTGTCTTGCTTAATACGTTTTAGGGCGTGTTTTTTAGTGTAGCTTATGACTACTTGTAAAGTAAAACCACATTGTATGCATGACTTTATACCTGCCTTCGTACAAGCCGATAACCGTCCATAAAGTAGACAATATAAATATATATGCTAATTTAGTATTGAATATAACTATTAGAGAATAGGTTATAATAGCTGTAAATAACTATAACATCGACAAAACATTTTTAAATTAACCAATGCTAAATTCCTCACTCGCCTGCTCGGAGTGTTTCTGTGTTTTGGGATAGAGGCAAACGAACAGATGGATCATAAGTGATCAGCATCACCCCTGAGTTGCGGCAGCAATACTAGAAGAGTAACGTACTATATTGCAGACCAAGGGCTCGTTATTATCGCTGCGATATGTCTTTGAAGAGTGGATTGAGAGATGCAGGTGTCATCACTGCGAGGGCACACCGGGCGTCGGGGATAGCGCGATGATCTCCAGCCACCGTCATCGTGGGTCTGCAGACGATAGCAAGGGTATTTCATCTCAATCTCAGGCTCAAAGCAGAAGTGGGAACGGCGTAATTTCTTAGTTGGAAAAATAAGACTCACACTCCCCCCCGCGCACCCAAGGCGGGAGACGTCATTGGATCATCTTCCCCCTCAAAAAATGTACAAAAATTCCGTAAAACACAATGCGAAGGTTCGCGGATTACGTTTCCGAAGCCTGTGTTATGACAAATGTCGTTTTACTCTAACCTCCTCTACACGTCTGCAGATGAGTCCGCCGACGTGAAGAGGAGGCATCGGCCGGTGTTAGTGTTAGTACGCATGGTGGTGCAGTCACAGTCCAGTAGCGCAGCGAGTGTGGCAGTTCTCGGTACTTGCCCGATACATGCACATCTCTCAACTTCACATCTCATTGGAATCCTACGTTACGATCAGCACTCGTGCTGCGGTACTTCGTATAGTAGGATGATGTTGGTGAGCCCTCGGCGCTGCCTATGGACACAAGTGCGGTGCCGGTCTTTGTGACCTCACTTACATTGGGTACAAGGCAAAGTACCTACAACGCAAGCGCAGTTTCACAATGGCCTTTTGTTTGCGTCCGTAATGTCACTCCGGTCCTGCAGGTCTATTCAAAAGTCAAAATCATTTATTTCAATTAGACCAGGAAGGCACTTTTGAACGTCAGAACAAAATATTTAAATATTAAATAATAAATATTTTAAATATAAATATTTTGTGTATTATATTTTAAATATACTATAAATAAGTTGTCTTATCAGTAACATATTTCTAGAGCTCCTGTCGCCTGTGACACAAGAATATTCCTAGTATAGGCAAATTATTTTTAAGATCTTGTCGCTTAATTAAGATATTTTTGTACCTATGTTGACCAGTGTTCTTATGAATAAAATTTTTATTTATTTATTATAATAAGAAAAAAATGTCAGTCTGTAGGTCAGTCCTCTAGTGAAGCTATTTGCTCGTTCCAAAGTGTAGATTCCTATGGAGAAGAACGAGCAAGAAACTCCATAGGTTGCTCTTTTTCAGTCATGTTCACAATACAATTTTTGGTTACATTCTTTCGTTGAGTTCAATTATGTGAGAACAATGTAATACCAATATTTGGTCAAGGAGACGGCAAAAGAAAATAACCTTGAGGACAACTTAAATACAGTCTGGAGCTGACCAGTCCCATTTGACAGCGCCCGTTCACGAACATGACACGCAAACCAGCACCGCCCAACTCAACCATGTTATAGGGAATCGAGCGATCCACTGCACGTGCCACTGCCAATGAGAATTTTGAGTGAGCATGACAACTCCAAGCTGACTGACACACTTGCATTCTACTATAGTCTAATTTAATTTAGCTAGTTACAAGGCTCTCACATTTACAATAATTATTATTATAAAGTTTGACAGTGTATATTTGAACAAAATGGTTGTATTATTGCATAATTAAAACTCATTGGAACATCAATGTTTTACGTTATCCTGTGGAGCCGGACCAGCCTGCCTCCAAGCATTTTTATCCTCTATGTAATCATTAAGTTTGTAGTATGCTTTTCCACATAACGTTTTTTTATTATATATTTTAAATTTTGACTCATTTAAGTGTTGTATTTCCTCCGGGATTTTATTATAGCATTTAATACAGAATCCCATAAAGGACTTTTATACTTTTGTCAATCTAAATAGTGGCTGACTTAGTCTATCCCTATGTCTAGTTTGATAGTGGTGTCTGTCAGACACTTTACCAAACAACTGTAGGTTTTTCCTAACATACATAATGTTTTCATAAATAAATTGACATGAAACGGTCATAATATTGTTCTCCTTAAACTTTTCTCTGAGAGATTCGCGATGACCTAGGTTGTAGATAGCTCCGACGGCTATTCGTGCCGAAGCCAGGATCTCCACATGAAATAGTACTTATCAAGCTATAACTTCATTTAATATGGTCCAGTATTAGTTCAGTGTAGGTATTAGAGAAATTCGGTAGTTAGTGCGCACAGACATACTACTCGGGTCACTTGCACGTCGCAAGCGGCGAAAGGGTGCAGAGTAAGAAGTGTGGGTTGAGCGGGCCGCGAGGGCGCGGGGGCGCGGGGGCGCGGGGCCGCGGGGCCGCGGGCCGCGGAGTGGAAGGCGGGGGCGCAACGACACAGCGCACGCGAGCCGCAGTTCACTGTCCTGGCGACGACGTGCGTCTGTGTACATACAGGCGCGCTGCACTGGACACAGCCACGTGCCGCGCCGTGCCTGCATCACAACCCCGCACTCTGCTAAGGCGACAGCAGTATCTGTGTGTCATCTTACTACCCGGTGTAGAGTCGAATGCGACAGGTTTTTATTAGAACCCTGCTGGCTGCCTTCGCCGAGTACCTACGTTCCTTTATCTCTTAGGTCCGAGAGGAGGTAGGCAGCAGGCCCCAACCTGCGGGTGCTCGGCTTCAAAGTCAACTCTTACTACTCTTGGCCATATTTTAAGATATAAATTAACTCGAATAGAATAATTTGAAGCCCTTTATGAGTGGGAATGCAGTAATGGAGACACGGCACTTGTCGTAGCCAAGTCGCGCACGTTATACTGTACTCGATATACATAGTATATACTGGAGGCAACAAAAATGACAATTACCAATTCGGGACCAAGCAAATCCTCAACGAGAGTTTAGTTGATAAAGTGTGCACGTTAATTCATCATTAGAAGGACACAGTGTTCGCAAGTGATCACTCGGTGTAGGCTCACGCTCCTCCGGCGGGCATGCTGTGTCGCGGCAGAGGGAGCGTCAGGCGGCGCGCGGCATCAGCGGCGAGCGGTCGCGGCGGGGGCGCGCCGAGGACTGCCGGCCCGCGCCGCCGCGCCGCCGCACTCCGCGCCCGCGCGCCCCGCGCCCCGCGCCGCGCCCCCGCCCCGCTTGCACGCACTCGCCACGCACTCGTCGTCGCTACGTCTCTACCGAACACTACTTATTTCTACCCATTATAACACTAACTCAGCTAAAGTTCCAATATGATGTTTGACATTGAAGAGTACCTTATAAATATTATTCTAATTGAAATAAATGATTTGACTTTGACTTCGATCTCCAAGTAAATTCAAAGATGTACGTATTGTGATTGTGATTGTGAACAGGTACTTATTAGCTGCGCTCACTTTTTTTTTTAAGTGGGGAAATCATTGAATGACTGTTCCCGCCTGGTTGAGGCGGGAGGGAGTGTCAGACTCTTACTGACTAAAAACCACCCCGTTCCTTCTCCTGCACGTCGAGCCGGAGCCCCGGTTACCCGTTAGGTTCCCCGCGACTCCGAATCGGCATCGGCCCTATTGGGCCCCATCTGTGGAGGTCCGATGGCTCTTTGAGGCGCGCGCGGAACGCGACGCGCCGTACGCTCGGGTCTGTTTCTGGTCGGACGGGGAGCCACCCATGCTCGCCGTCCGCAGGCCCGCGCTTACGGTGGCCGGAGATCGTCTCGCGATCCCCGACGCCCGGAGTGTCCTTCGCGATGGCTGGGTTGCGAGGAGGCAGCGCTTCGCTGCCTCACGCGTCCCGCCTCCTCCTTAGCTAGCATGACTGCTTCGCAAAAGGAGGACATCCCAGTCCCCCTCGCTCCGCATCATGGCCCGCACTAGGCCCGGACGCGAGAGGTCGCCATCGCCGATCACTTCCCTGAGGGCACGGCGGTGCTCAGCCCACGCAGGGCATTCCGCTACAGTGTGTTCCACCGTGTCCTCAGGGCGGTCCTCGCAGTGATGACACCCGGGCGTTTCCTCCCGCCCCATCAGACACAGGTACCTCCAGAAACTTCCATGTCCGGTGAGGACGCCGTAGCGTCTCTCAAGCCACTTCTCAAAGAGGGGACTTACCGCTGCGATGGCAGCGAGCCCAGCCCTCGGTTGCGACGGTCGTTGCTGCCATTCCGCCATGAGATTGCGCCGGAGCTCATCCCGCCACGCACTTATCGTAATCAGACTACGTCTCAGTCTCATAGTAAGTGCAGCAGTGTGGGCCGTGCGGTGTAGAACTCGAAACGGCCCTCAATCTGCCGCCAAGTGCAAGCGTAGCACTTGACGCGCTTGAAGTAACTCACACTTTTCCACGATGTGTCGCCGTAGTATCGCAACCTCACGAAGCTACGGCGTAGGCAATGCGCGTAGACAGCTGGCTACGAGTGTTGCAGACGGCGTAGCAAACTGCTACGCGCCCGTGTAGCCCAGCCCACGCTTCGTTAAAAATCGCGTTTGCTACGCACTCATAAGCCGTAAGCGTTCCTCCTGCACACGATTGACATGATTTATTCAGTCAGGAACGCTAACTTTAGCTACAGCTTACATAAACTAACAAAGGTAAAATATTGTGTCACAATATGGCACTGGTTGCCAGTCATATATCTTGTAGGTACAGCTTACAGCGTTAAATATTAATAATTGCTTCAGTTAGTTCAATTTGTTTATCACAAATTAATTTCTGATTGAAAATTTCTACTAGACAATAATATTTTTGCAAAAACATCAGTTGGTTCAAATCCCAACACATTGCGTCCACATGTAAGTGGGTACTACTACTTCTGCCGACCAAACGACTCTTCTCGTACGCACAAAGTTTGAGTATTCCTCACCACGCTTGCTCAATGCGGGTTGGCCATTTCAAACTTATAATTAGGAAAGCGCAGGTTTTCCTTCACCGTTTGTCAGAGTTGTTCAAATTATCTTAGAAAATATATATATCGGAAAAATTCACATTGGTACTTTGCCGTTGGTTAGTTTCGAACCTGCATCCTCATGCATGAGAAGTGGGCATCAGCATAAACCTCCGGACACCACGACATGTGCTACAAGTCTCATAATGTTAGAAAGTACCTCTTTAACAAACTGGATAGACTTACCGTAAACGAATGTCTCCTATTTGTTGAGAAACGAAAATCATTATTTTAATGACGCCTCCCACCCTGGGTCCGGCGAGCGGTCGTATCAAACTCTTACTGCTTTGCTCTACTCTCGCTTCGAGCTGGAACCACGGTAACCATTGCGGTTCTCCGCAATCCTGGTCGACCATCGGCCTTAGTAGGCCCCACCTGTGAAGGCCTGATGGCTCTTTGGGGTGTACGCGGCGCACCGTAAGCTCGGGTTCGATTCTGGTCCGCAGACCTGCACACACGTTGATCGGAAATCGTCACGGAATCCCCGACGGCCGTCGACTACAGTGGCTGTCAGCTCGCAGTCGGACACCGAATGACAGCACATTGATGTTTGTCGAATAGTTACGGCCTCATTTCAACATATTTATTTTTAGGGACTTTTAAAAGTGTACTATGATATAAAAACACTTGATGAAATCCAAAAACTTGAAATACTTGTATGTATTGGCAAACAAAAGATACAGTCGTGTACATGTAGAAGTAATCGTAGTTGATGTAGGCACGCATTTATGATTATCGAGAAAAAGAATGTTAATCATTGATCTGCCCAAACCACATAATTATCATATGGCCAATAGACAGTCGCATGAAATACTCTAGCATTTCACGGAGCGAGCACACCTACGATATAGCCTCTACATTAATATGTATACTTTTCAGTTATTATAATAGTGTTGACGCCTAATTGTTCTGAACTCACGATTAGGTCTGTACTCCGATCTACATTAATTAAAACGTGTCAAATGTACGTGAGCCAAGCGAGCTGTCCGAACAAGTCTAAATGGTCTCTGATAGATCTTGTCGGCGACACACTAGTGAAGTGTTCGCGTGGTGCCAGTAGGTACTCAGTACGTATCGATGCTTAATTCAAGGGGAAAGTAAGAAGGATGCTGCTAGCGGGTCACTTTGCGAGACTTCCGGGAGTGTCCCCCTCCCCCTACGACTCCCCTCCCCCGCGCCCGCGAGGCGAGGCGAGGCGGCGCTGGCGGTGCGGTGGAGGCTGGCTGCATGACCCGGCCCTGACCTACTTGCGGCGCGCTACGCTCGCTCCGACCGCTCCGAGCGCTCGCACCGCGTGGCGCGGATCGCGTGACTTGTCGCGACCGCACTACTATTATTATGTCACTTGGCTCTACTCCTACACTACCTGCAGGAGTTACAAAATTACGAATATTTATTTCAAAGCGCAACTTCTAAAGAAGTCATGACATGACATTTAAGTGTGGTTAGTTCTTGACAATGGCGCTAGTGGACTCTGAAAACATGCAGATGCAAGTTACTCTTATAAATAAAAATAAGAAAGGATAAAGTGGGCAAATGTAGGCCATACGTCTCAAGTATGAATCGTATAAAAAATAATACAATTAAAATAAATGTTAAAATATAGTAATAAAATTCTAACAAAATGTGAAGTATAGTTTCTCAAGACCGCTTATGTTTTGCTTTTTCTTTGTTTCTTTCTGTCGGCCTCACGTCATCACGTGGCCGCTCTCCGCGTACTGTCCGCCACCTCAGGCCGTGCTGCAGCTTCAGCACAACACTAAGGAACAAACGGACAATTATGTAAAATTACTAAACGTAGACTTGTTATCCAACAAGCTTAAGTACTAATATTATAAATGAAAAAGTTTGGGTGTTTGTATGTATGTTTATTAGTTTGGGTGCTTGTGTGTATGTTTATTAGTGTGGGTGTTTGTATGTATGTTTATTAGTTTGGGTGTTTGTGTGTATGTTTATTAGTTAGGGTGTTTGTATGTATGTTTGGGTGTTTGTATGTATGTTTGGGTGTTTGTATGTATGTTTATTAGTTTGGATGTTTGTATGTATGTTTATTAGTTTGGGTGTTTGTGTGTATGTTTATTAGTTTGGGTGTTCGCCTCATAACGGCTGAAGGAATCGGAATGTTTGGAACTGGGGCAGACGATGCTCTGGTATGACACAGACTACTTTTGGTGGGCAGAGACAGGGCAGGTGTAGGGTTTATATAGGTATTATTAATGTTTCCTTCAAAGTAATATCTACAAGGCAAGAGGATACTGTCATTTAGGGTACAATCTTTATTTTCGTACACCAAATGCCCCGACGCCATTCAATCGTTGGTTGTTAAAAATAAATAGCTGAATAAAGGAAACAAAATCGATCCCCCGACTGTCAATGATGATTGGGACTCTTGCTTGCTGTAATTTATTTATTTTTTCATCGTAAGAGATCTGCGATAATTATTAAAATCTTTATTGACAATTTGTGTAACACATCTCACCAAGAGCCTCAATAACGAAGTCGCACGTGGTTCAGTCGAACAACGGACCGGTGTGCAGTGGAATTTGTTAAAACTTGGCGGTCATGGTGAATGCTGAATCAAGAAGTATTAAACAGCAGTATAACAAGACTATAGTTCTAGACTCCGAGCCAGTTCAGCCAGTACTTCGGGGCACGACCCTCTCCGTGCGCGCGGCGGGGGACGGGCGGCGGCGGCGGCGCGTGGTCCGACAAACTTTGCCGCTTACTTAACAAACAAATATAAGGCAGCCACGTTCTTTACTTTTAGAATTTAATTAAATCATTAAAGGGGATAATGCCGACTCCCCTGGCAGAATTAATCATAAGTCGTGGAAGAACGGAAAATAAAACTGAAGAATTTCCATTATAACGAAGTGCTACGGTGCGAAGGGGTATGGTGATAATTTGTTCATAGCCAGGGCCCGAGATTGTATTTTCGGTTCAGTGCGGGCCGCCCGCCGCCAGCCGCCGCGCCGTGGCACACTGGCACTGCACTCGCCTCACTAATGAGCCGTACGCGGTACGCACACCTCCATGCGCGTGCCACTGTGCCACTTGCATAAAATACGAGTCCAAGAACAATCTAACAGATGACGTTAGAATGATATTGATACAAAAAATCCTAGGTCGGTCCCATCTATATCTATACTAATATTATAAAGAGCAAAGATTTGTACCTATTTTTGTAATGAATAGGCTCAAAAAGTACTGGGCCGATTTTAAAAATTCTTTCATCAATAGAATGCTACATTCTTCCAATTTGACATAGGCTACATTTCATTTTGAAAAAAATAGGGATCCTTGGTAAAATTTGAACAATGTAACCGAAGGTGTAGAAAAATGAGTCTTAAAATGTCTTTCGTCGAATGCGCTGCCGAAACTATTAGCGATAGAACAAAATAATGTACAACAATACAATATTGAAGGATATCATAATGTCTACAAAAAACTCCGCGGTAGCATATGTCCAACTATAATAGTTATGTCACTACAACAATCCAAATTTCCAAAAATAAATAATTGTTTACCCCGTGCGAAGCCGGGACGGGCTGCTAGTCTAATATAGTATATACATATATAAAAAAGGTACATCACGAAAGCAAAGTTTGCACCCGAATTAGATAAAACCCACAAATTGTGCAATTATTGGGTATTCAACCAATTTATCAAATTGTAGGTACATATTAATGCCACTGGCACTGACTGACAACGTTCATCTGTATTTTGCTCGGAACAATAACTAAAGCAGTATTTTGTATTATTGCTCGTCAGTTATGGGTACTTAAATTTGGCCCATCTTTAATATACCTATTGCCAATGTGGTCGATATATGTGTCCGTCTAGGGCGCCCTCTTCATATCCGCTCTGTATACTTAATTAAAATTTGTAACTCTGCTGTCATCCATCTTTTTACATGTCCAAACCATCATAACATTCTCTTTTCAATCCTTGTCACATCGTCTTTCAATGCACACCCTCCTCTAATAACAATATTTTTCTTTAAAAACAAACAAAAAGTAAAAATAATAAAATATATTATTAGTACTGACGCCGAAATATATTATTAGTACGGTTATCCGCCTACTGCACTGGTAGGTTAGAAGTCGGTGTCATAAGTTCTTTCTAAACAAAATTATTCATTAACATCTTATAGTTTATTAAATTTTTAACCGACTTCCCAAAAAGGAGGAGGTTATCAATTTAATTTTTTTTGTGTGTATGTTACCCGATTATTCCGGCGTTTGTGGACGGATTTTGATGATTTTGTTTTTGTTGGAAAGTTCATACTCTCGGGGTGGTCCAATTTCCAACAAGTCAGGATCTGATGATGAGATCCCGTGGAAACCGAAGAAATGTTTTAAAATTGTAGGGGCGGCGAGAGCGTTTGTTAATTTTTTTATATAATATTTAAAACTACATACTACAATTTGATGAAGGTGTAGAGTGGTTCTGATGATGCAGTCAAGAGACAGTCAAAGTCAAAGTCAAAGTCAAAGTCAAAATCATTTATTTCAATTAGGCCAGAATGGCACTTTTGAACGTCAACAAAAACAAAAATTTAAAGTGAAGCTATTTGCTCATTCCAAGGCGTAGATTCCTATGGAGAAGAACGAGCAAGAAACTCCATAGGTTACTCTTTTTCAATCAGGTTCACAATACAATTTACTAGTTACATAGTTTTGCTGTTTGGATTGTGCGAGAACAATGTAACACTAAAATCCAGTCAAAGTGATCAAAAAAGAAAATAACCTTAAGGACAGTAATACAGTCTGGAGCTGACCAGTCCCAGTTGACGGCGCCCGTTCACGAACATGACACGTACACCAGCACCGCCCAACTCAACCATATTGTAGGGAATTGAGCGATCCACTGCACGCGCCACCGCCAATGAGACCTTTGAGTGAGCATGACAACTCCAAGCTGACACAAATGAAATCTACTAATCTACTTTAATATTAAGTTAATTACAGGGCTCTCACATTTACAATGCTTATCTAAGTTAAACAATATCAATTTAGCAATATGGCTGTATTATTTACGATTTCATTAAAACAAGTGTTTTTAGTTATCCTGTGGAGCCGGACTAGCCTGCATCCAAGCATTTTTATCCTCTTATATTCATTAAGTTTGTAATATGCTTGTCTACATAAGTTTTCTTTATACATAATTTAAATTTCGATTCATTTAGTTGTTGTACATCGCCTGGTATCTTATTATAACATTTAACACAGAATCCCATGAACGACTTACTTACTTTCGCTAATCTCGAAATTGGCTGACTTATCTATTCTTATGTCTAGTTTGATAGTGGTGTCTGTCCGACACTTTACCAAATAACTGTAGGTTTTTCCTAACATACATAATGTTTTCATAAATAAATTGACATGGAACGGTCATAATGTTGATCTCCTTAAACCTTTCTCTGAGTGATTCGCGACGACCTAGATTGTAGATAGCTCTGACGGCGCGCTTTTGTAAGATAAAGATAGATTCAATGTCCAGCGTGTCCCCCACAGCAAGATGCCATACGACATAATGCTATGAAAGTAACTGAAATACATAGTCTTGCCGTGTCTATGTCAGTTACTGTCGTATCTTCCAGACAGCATAAGCTGCAGAGCTCAATCGTCCGCTAATGATGTAATGTGAGGACCCCATTGCAATTTGTCGTCTACAGTAATTCCCAGGAATGTTGTCTCTTTTAAAACTCTAATTTCTCACCATTCAATAATATGTCACAATCGTTGCTTTTAACATTTGGCAAAAACAAATTTAATACATTTTGTCTTTTTATTGTTTAGTACTAAGTTATTTAATGTAAACCAATTATGAACTTTCATTAGGGCATTATTTACGTCGTCATAACTATTTGTGCGTCTATTAATTTTAAAAACTAATGAAGTGTCATCAGCAAATAATACCATCTGCGGTTCATTTTTAAATAAATGGGGCAAGTCATTTATGTACGCTAAAAATAAGAATGGACCTAGTATCGAGCCCTGCGGTACCCATAGATATGCTAGCACCCTGTGAATTTACTTTATTTACTTGTACTTTAAGTTGCCTATCCTGAAGGTATGATTTCAACAGATTTAGCGACGTCCCCCGAATGCCGTAGTGTTTCAGCTTCAGCAATAGTGTCTCATGCTCAACACAGTCGAATGCCTTCGAAAGATCACAAAATATGCCGATGGCATCCCGTGCTTCTTCCCAAGAGGCGAACACCCGCTTAATTAGAGCTACTCCCGCGTCAGTAGTGCAGCGGACCTTTGGTGAATCCGTATTGTTGATCATGAAAAATAGAATTTTGTTAAAGTGACGCAACATCTGAGAAAGCATCAGCCTTTCAAACACTTTGCTGAGCGCTGGCAAAATAGAGACCGGCCTATAGTTATTGGGTTCTGCACTATCACCGGATTTAAACAATGGAACTACTTTACTATGTTTCATTAAATCCGGGAAAACTCCGTGATCTACACTTTTATTAAAAATAAACGCTAAATGAGGCGCTATAGTCTCTATAAAAGATCTACACACTCTAACAGACATGCCCCAGAGATCTTCAGTAGACTTAACTTTGATCTCTTTGAACGCTTTAATTACTGCTTGGGGGTTTGTGTATTGAAATCGAAACTCAGAAAGGCACTCATTGATATTACTTTTAAGAAGTTCAACGGAAAGAGTCGGAGATGATTTCAATGCTTCCGTAGTTTTAATCGGAATATTTTTAAAGAAACTTTCAAATTCCTGTGCAACTTTATAATTTGAATTGATACGTCCATTCGCAGTATTTAGATTAAATTCAGCACTACGTGATTTATTTCTACCTGTCTCGTCATTAATTATATTCCAGGTAGTTTTTATTTTATTTTCTGCAGTCTTAATTTTATTAGTAATGTAAAGTGCTTTAGCCTGCTTACAAACTAATTTAAACGTTTTTGAATATTTGGAGACATAAATGTGAAAAGCCTCACTATGATTAAATGGTTTCATACCGTAAAGCTCAAATAACCTTTCCCTACTTATGCGTATACCTGGTGTAGCCCAGTCACAGAATACCAACTTGCATTGAATGTTTTTGCGTTTTACAGGGAATAATTTATCAAATTGAGTTTTAATAATTGACAATAGGTTGGCGTAAATCTCACTCGGGTATTCACTATCATGTATTTGACCGCATAAATCATTTTTTAAATTATGATTTAATGACTCAATTTTTTTATTTGAGATCTGTCTAAACATAATTTCACTTTTTTGAACAGTTGTGATGGTGTTAAAGCTAACTGTCAGCCCACTGTGATCAGATGATAATTTATTAACAACATCTTTATGTAAATAATCACAGTTACAAAAAATATTATCTATACATGTTGCCGTGGTGGATGTTATACGGGTGGGCTCAAGGAAAACATTAGATAAATCAAAAGATTTGAAGAGACTTAATAAGTTAGTACAAATAGAGTTATTTTCCAAGAGATCAACATTAAAATCGCCACATACTATGGTACATTTACTACTAGAACACGTTTTGTGCAGTACATCTTCCATTATGGAGCTAAAACTATTAAAATTTTGTGACATAGGAGGTCTATAAACACAGATTACAATATGCTTATCCAGCTCAACACAGGACAACTCTATTGTGTGCTCTATTGACAATAATGTAATATCTTGTCTTTCTTTATATTTCACTGAATTGTTAACTAAAATTAGGCTACCACCATGTATCATTGTTTGACGGCTAAAATAGTTTCCAACACAATAGTTTTTAAAATTTATAGATTCTACTTGATAATCCTTCAGCCAATGTTCAGTAATACAAACAATATCATAATTAAATTTTTCTAAAAATAATTCAATTTCTAGAGATTTTGAAAAAGCCCTGCATATTTTGATTAAACAATGTTAACAACTTTTCTTGTTTATTCTTCTTATGTACTACTTTCATAGATTTAGACTTATATACTGCCAGAAGATACCTTAACAATGCATGGAACATTTGTAACATTTAATTGTTTATCCTCTGTTGTCTTATTATTTAGTTTAAAAAGTTATCCAGAGTACCCACATTTGTCATCAAATCATGAGTCTCTTTCGTACTATCATAATAAGTACAGCTAATCTCTATATTATTAGATTGTCTATATAATATAGATCCGTCACTTAAACTATTATAAACTAAATTAATACTATTTGCTAGCAAACTAGCAAGTAAAACTTTACATTTTCTAGGAATAAACATGTATTCCTTGGTCAAATTAAAACCACTAACAAATTTGTTAGTGTCAAAAAATAATAATTTGTCTTTATGACAACATGTCAGCATAAATATTAAATTATTTAAATAATATATATTTTTATTCTGTGATTCTGTCAAATTGTCAGAATACGGAAAAGCACACATTATTATGTTTCCTATTTTTAGTTTTAATAAAGCATCAACACCATCCACTATATCCCGCTTCTTTACCCCAGTACTATCACCCATCAACAACACTACCGGCTGAGTTTGTGTGATACATTGTTGTTTTATTTTTTGTATCATCTGACCAAACTTTATGTTACTATAACAGTAATTTGTTATACTGTAATTGAGGCAATTTGAAATGAGCGACCCAATACCTGCTCCTATGGAGTCAGTGAACACACTAACATTGCTGGTCATAGCTGGTTGAGTGACCGTATGTGATACAGGTATATTATGTTCCGGCTCAGGAGGCAGGGTGTGAGCACAACTACAAGAAAGGTTATTTGCTAGAGACTCATATCTCTCAGCACTATACGTTACTAAGTCTACTAGTTTACCTGCTTCAATCATGTGATTATTAATCTCAGATTGGGCGGATTCATACAGTCGAGGGAAGTCCTCGAGGATTTGTAACAATGGCCGTGTTTGGGCTTAAATTATTTGTATTGAGGAGATCTTTGCGTCTAGGTGGGACGTGATTGTCATTAGGAGCCTGATGATGAAGTAGTATATATAGATAGCTATGGGAATTCCTATATGGTTGATAGTAGCTACCTGGTGTTCGGCTTGATTCATTTGTATTGCTGAGAACTTTACACCTAAATGGAGTATGATTGTCATTAAGGGCCTGATGATGAAGGAGTATGATAGCTACGATTAATACGATTACGTTTACCTGGTGTTTTAGTTTGAATAATTTGTAATGATGAGAACGTTACACCCATGTCGGATATGTGTAGTAATATATGTATGTATAGCCTTCTACTAAACTAAAAAAATAAAATAAAACCTGTGTTTAAAAAACCGACTTCGATAACCAAAACCTAAAAACAAGCAAAAGGTTAAAACTAAAAAGCAAAAAGTAGCTATTATCAGTCATACGTACCTTCTTGTAGGTTACCCACCCACTGATAGGTTAGAAGTCTTTTCTTCAGTGGCGGCCAGTGGATTATCGAACTGGTGGTGCACTTTACTAACTAAAGTGAGAAAATGCAACAAAACAAAAATTGACATAAATATGATTATTTTTTATACATTAAATCAATGCGACGACATTTTTCTGAAGAGAAATGTTTAATCACCTTTTTATTAAAATCGGGTATTGTTTGTATGAATTTATTTTCAATACAACAATAATTGCCGTGTCACATATAAGTGAAACTATACTGATAATAGGTCGTCCAACGAAGACGTCTAGACAGCCGCAATCGTGCGGGGTATGAGGGGCGAGACGCGGGTAGGCCGATCCCGAGCTGCGAACAAGACGATGTCAGCAGCTCGGGATATACATATATTATTCAGGGCTAACGTGTGTTTGTTTTTACCGACTTCGAAAAAAGGAGGAGGCACTATGTTTGAATGATTGTTTCTTTTTATCGACTTCAAAAAAGGGTGGAGGTACTATGTTCGTCTTCCTCAAAGTCCTTATCAATACAAATTATACAAGCCCAAACACAAGGTAGTTACTGTATACCGTTGAGGAGTTCCCTTAACAATTACACTTCTTCATCATCAGACCCTTAATCCCGAAATCTCCAACTTTGGAGCCAAACGTCGGAAATGCTCTATGAAGTTCCACCGACTGTCGAGGACGAGTCCTAGGTACTTCATCGCCGTCTCGACGCCGATGGTAACCCCTCCCGCGGTCAAATGTGTAGGAGCGTGGTGTGGGTGATGTTTAGCGAGAGCCCTCTTCGTCACTCACATCGGTAGAAGCATGTGTAAGCAGCAATAAAACAATAAAATCTTCGTAATTTAAGGATTAAAGATGTTTATTTTCGTACAGTGTACTTTTACTTGTTCGCATTTTAATTAAGCCGACATTTCCTACCAACTATTCTGAGAAGAAATGCCGAAACCCACTCAGAGGTCTCAGGCACTTTCAAAGTTCAAACATGGTTAACAAAGTACATCAAAGTTTAGACCACTCTCATTGTAATAATATTCACTGTTATAGTCTCAAACTCAATAATAAATTCACAAACTGCTTCTAATGATGCAATCACTGAACAATAATAAACTACTAACAGTATTCTTCGTAAAAGTAGTTGTTCGCTCGGAGTCCAAGCCGACAGTGAGTGCTGTACTACTGTGGTACCATGTTGAACGTCACTCGATCTCCCCTTCTCTTTTCAATAACTAATTGAAATATCTTTATTGCTGAACACAGTACATTTTGATGCATTGCAAGATGTTAGATGAATGCGCAGTTCACCATGTTCCACCAATCAAGGCATGCAATTATTATTCGTACAATTTCAATGTCAATACAAATTAGGTAGTTTTACTTTATATTTAGTACTAAAAAGATAAAATCTTGAACCATATAGTTAAATTATCTTTTACCCAAACGAACAATGGTGTTAGCGAAACAATTGGAAAGTAAGTATTGTTAAAGTAATAATTACTGTTGTATTTAGTCCGCGCCATCCGCGGTGGATGCTTCATTAGCGGCCTGGCCGAGTTATTGTGCCGAGTCGTGCGGTCGAGTGCGCCGCTGCGCGCGGTACGCTGGTACGCAGACCACGTGCGATGTTAATCAATTTTGTAAGTCTGTCTTCCTGATCACTCTATTGTCTTAAATGTTACGCATTCATTTTTTATTGCTTGTACTAGCTTTTGTTGGAATTTGTTAGAGAAACTGTATTTTTTGGTTTCACAGTAGATGATTGATTTCAATGGGGGCCCCACATTAAAGCACTTTCGGGGAGCTCGACTCAGCTGCGTATGCGGTTAGACAAATTAGGCAACAAACACAATGTAAACGAGCGCGCCCGTAAAAGTCCTTAACTTCCAGTTGAAAAAATGTGCAAACTGGGTAGCTAGTTGGTGAATAAATCCTCCACTGTCTGTCAGGGGGACAAAAATATACATTGACGTGGAGTTACAAGAAACACACCAAATTATTTGAAAAACCGAATACTTATGGCTGAAAAAAGAAGATGTTCTTTCATACACGATTTTTAGGTTTTTGGCATTTTATGTGAAGATGCAATAAAAACGTAATTTAATTTTTACACTAAGTCAGTCCACCATTAGACTTTTGACAACGATGGACCACACCAGTCGTGTCCTTCACTTTTAAATTTTTACATGAGACTGTACAGCTGAACATGAGACCACTTTTTCAATATTAGGATACTAAAAGAGGGAAAAAAATATTTTTTCAACAAAAATAAAATTGTAGGTATTAAAGACATAAAAAGGACGTCGCCACAAACTTTCGTAAAAAAAATAAAGAAGCTGAAGAAGATAAAATAAAAACTTTCGCGTAAATTTTGAGGATATGTATAAAAAGTGTAAACACAAAAGATGTAGATCTTTTTAGTATCTACAACTTCACTATTGATTTTTTTTTCTGTTGGACCTATAGTTCTACCGCAAATCCCGCCCGATAAACCGATTTTTTTCTTCTAACGCCCACCCATCATTTTCCCGACCTCAGTTCGCCCGTAATTTATTTATTCATATTTTTGGGCACATTCTCTTTCCTTTGCAATGGGTTTCATTCTACTTTTATTTAATAATGTTTCCGACCGTTAAGGACGTTATCTACCCCGGTCTAATATTGCAATTCCGACTGTACAAAGTGTAGAAATCCTTCATGGGATCATGTGTTAAATGTTATCTATATATACCTATGACGCTCACTGTGGCAGACTCCAGGAAACATCGTGGGTCGAAGTAGACTCCAAGCTCGACTTCCACGCGGGTGTGCCCTGCCCAGCCACCATCCTGTTGAAGTACGGACGTCGGCTAATCTCGATTGCCTCCCGAACATTCGCAGAACGAAATATTTTTCCCTTGCTAGTACGGAGACCTTATCAAAACGTATGAAGTGAGCCGCGTCCGTACCGCAACATGCTCAGCCACTGCCGATGCTTGGATATCCATATTTTTCATGCTACGTTTAAGTTCCTTCCGCCTGGTTGTGATGCTGCGATGTCTCAGCTGACCAGGTGGACGGAAGATCGTCCTGATGCAATATTTACGGCGCAGCAAAATCATTTCCTACTCGAGCTGCTCACTAGTCGAGTGCATTGACGCCAGTTGTATCCGGTGTTTTCCAGTATATAGCCGTTTTATGTAGTCAATATAGTCCTCAGAGCATAGTCTCAGCGCCCGGTTTATCAAAATCCGGGAAACAGCGGCCAGGTGGGAGGGATGGTGGTGTGAGTCAGCTCGTAAGTACCGGCCCGTGTGTCGGTTTACGATACACTGTGTGTGACAATCGACCATCTTATTCTCGTCTTACTAGGACATCTAAGAACGGCAACATCCCCTCACTCTCTCTTCTTCAGTGGTAAATTGTACACTGTCGCGCACTGAGTTCAAGTATCCTGCAGTATATCAATCAGTCAATTCGTCCTGCACAACAACGCGCGATCTCATAGTGCTCAGCAGACGGTCTCCAAGTTGCAAGAACTATTGTTGAAAGTTGAAAGCTCTCCATCATCCGCTTTAGTCAACAGACCTTGCGCCTACAGACAACTACTTTTTCCATAATTTGGATAACTTCTTGGCGGGAAAGAAGGAAGAAGAAGAAGAACTCCGGTTGAAGGGCATCAATAATCTGCTGCTGCGTTTGTAGTCGGCAAAGTTGCATTGATGGCATGGGTGATTATTACTTCGATTAATACAAATAAAAAATACATGAAAAAAAACATTAAATTTTGTCAAAGTCAAAGCATTTATTTCAATTAAACCAAAATTAGGTACTTTTGAAACGTCAACAAATACAAAATAAATAATAGTCTGTCAGCCAGTCCATCAGTGAAGCTAGGTGCTCATTGCAAAATGTAGATTCGAATGGAGCAGAACGAGCAAGTATCTCAATTCGTTACTCTTTTAAAAAAAGGAGGTATGTTCTACAATGTCTCTGATACATATTCCAATACTGTACGCATATGTGAGAACAATGCAAAGATACGCTTGACGCATTATACAGTATACTAATTTCAAAACTTACGAAAATAATAAAAAAATCTTATATGTAGTCTAACATGGTGCTCACTTATGCATAAGTACTGACAATTCATATCAATAGTGCTTCTATACAAGAAAAAGAAAGCTCTTTGTTTCAATAAAGAAAGAAATGTTCGATGCCATAAGGAAACTAGATTGTCTACATTAGAATGAAAGTATTAAGTTATTAAATTATCTACTCTTGGAATCTAATTACTACTGCCTACATTTGAGTATTGTCCAGTGGAGCCGAACCAACATGCAACAACCATTCTTATCTTCAAGATAATCTGTCAGTTTGTAGTAAGTTTTTCATACAAAACGGCAAATGAATAGTGTACACTGTGTACAGTCTTCAACGGTACATAGATATTTTGCTGACATTAAGATCGGTACGATCGCGTGATATTGCTTTGCTTATGTATATAAATTATCACATTTCATGTAATTATCGGGCAGTGTGTTTTACTAATAACGAAGTAAACGGTCGGCGGTCGGCGGGCGGCGGTCGGCGGGCGGCGGTCGGCGGGCGGCGGGCGGCGGGCGGCGGTCGGCGGGCGGCGGGCGGCGGGCGGCGGTCGGCGGTCGGCGGGCGGCGGTCGGCGGGCGGCGGTCGGCGGGCGGCGGGCGGCGGGCGGCGGCGCGGCTGCTCCTCACGTACTTATGACTTCGTGCTCCCGTTACACAGTTTTACAAGAGAGTTTACGGTGCTGATTTATGAGCCAATATCTGAGGCCGCGGGGTAGCCCTGCATGCATAAAAAGGTACTTTATCGGTGATACCACCCCCGCCCCCGCCCCTCCCCCCTCTGCCGCTATCGCACGATACCTACCATTATTTTCTTGGAAATTGTTACAGTAACAGTTGACTATACATCTCATAGATACACCATGCTTCTACAGTCTGACAGGGTGACCATTTTGAAAGACAACAATCACATTGAGTAATCTATACATAGTACCTACGTATAATAAAACTATACAAGTGTAAAATCTGTACATTGAAAACAAAAAAAATAGTAATGGATGTTACTATAAAGTAACCGAACTCAAAAACATGAAATCAAAATCAAAAATCAAAATTCACTTATTCACATTTAAATAGAGTTATTACATTTGATGGTTTTTATATATGTTACATCCTTTGTTCTTATAGTCTATTTAGCCTGCTTAGGGCATGTGAAGTTAAGTACATTTAAAAAAAGAAAGGAATGGTTGTACATAATTATATTCAATAATAATCCAATTCAATAACATTCACAATATAATTCAATTAAATTAGAGTCGGAGTCCAATACAAGTATGAAGTCAAATATTTTATTTTGCTAAACAATTTCAATTATAAACTCTGTCATCAAATACTATTTACAGTTAAATAAAATAAGTTAAAAATTTTTCATATTAAACAATGCCCCTTTTAACATACAAGCCAGTAGCCCAATGAACAAAATGTTTGTTTGTCTGTATCACGCAAAAACTACCGGTCCGATTACGATGAAACTTGGTATGATTATACTTTAACTAGCTACTTCCGCGCGGTTTCACACGCTCTGCTCAGCTCCTATTAGTCGTAGCGTTTTTATAGCCTATAGCCATCCTCAATAAATGCACTATCCAACACAAAAAGAATTATCATCATATCAGACTTGTAGTTACGGAGATTAGCACATCAAACAAACAAACAAACAAACAAACTCTTCCGCTTTATATAATAGTGTAAGATGTAACATATCATAGGCATAATACTGGGTACTTTTATCCCGAAAAATTTTATTCACGAAAAAACAAACTTAATTGTTTGGTTTAATCCCTAGATACAGTTACTATTGTCGAATGTTAGGTTGCCCGCAGTGAACTTTACGCTCTAACTATAGGGCCGATGGTTGAAAATAGCTTGAACCGATATTATAAATGTGAAAATATGTGAGTATGTATGTGTATTTGTGTGTATATTTGTCTCTCAGTCACATCAAAACACCTGAAGGAACCGGGGTGACATTTGGAAGAGGTAGATTATGGTCTGTAATAACACATAGGCTACTTTTTACCGACTTCAAAATAGGAGGAGTTACTAAGTTCGGCTGATTGCTTTTTTTTTGTTTGTTCACGCATTATTGCGGCGTTTGTGACCCGATTGCCAAAATTCTTGTTTTGTATGAAAGGGTATATACTCCCGAGATGGTTCCATTTCCATGAGGTCAGGATCTGATGATGGGATCCTAGGGAAACCGAGGGAACTTTCGAAAATTCTAGGGGCGAATAATGCACCTAAGTATTATGTTTTTCAATTAAGATTTTCAACACTACAATTTGATAAGGGTCTGGTATCGAAGAGAACTCCTCAGCGGTTTATATTAACTACCTTGTGTTTGTTCTTGATAAATTTGTATTGATAAGGACTTTACACCTAGATAGAGTGGGACTGTCATTAAGGGTCAGATGATGAAGAAGTGTAATTGTTAAGGAACGCTTCAACGGTTTATATTAACTACCTTGTGTTTGGGCTTGTATAATTTGTATTGATTAGAACTTTACACCTATGTAGATTATACGTGACAAAACGGATCTATGTAGCTTTACACTGAAAATGATATAATTAAAAAAAACTGCGTTTAAAAAACCGACTTCAAAAAACCAAAAACTAATAACAAACAAAAATCAAAACTAAAAAAATAACTATTATTAGTACTGATAGGTTACCCACCCACTAATGGGTTAGAAATCGGTGCCATAAGCTCATATCATAATGTTATAACTTAATGCCACAAAATTGTACATTAGGTATATATTAAGATTTTAATGAATAGTTTTGTATAGAACTTATGGCGCCGACTTCTAACCTATCAGTGGGTGGATAACCTATCAGTAGCAGTACTAATAATAGTTATTTTTTTCTTTTTAGTTTTAACTTTTTGTTTGTTATTAGTTTTTGGTTTTTTGAAGTCGGTTTTTTATTACCCCTAGGGACGCGGACGAAGCTGCTGGCAGAAGCTAGTCTAAAATAAAGTAAAATAGTTAAAATGTAAAAAGTAGCGGAACTTGTTTCGGCGTAGTATTCCGCTGAGGTATTCATATTAGTGCGCGCTTGACGCGGAATGTGTGCCAGGAACGTTGCGAGGTATACAACTACTCGAACATACCTGTCTTATTAATAAACTGTACTGTCTTTACTGTACTTACGTATTTAAATACAGTCAACGACTTACACAGAGCTCTGATATTGCAGGCACTGCCGATGTACCATGGAGGTGTGGGTAGGGCCGACCGTGCCAGGCGTGTGTTTGTTTGTCATGGGCCCGAGCAAACATTCACTGAGCCACCGCACTGAGGAGAACGTTACTGTTTACGTTACATTAATTGTTCATGTGATTCAGAAACATTCCTATCTCAATGTTGTGCCTTTAATAAGTTAGTGGGTAGCTCCGGCGGCGGCGACACGAGCTGCTACGCGGTGAGACACGCGCGGTGCGGTACTAGCTCAGAGCGGGGGCCTCGCTCTCGTTCATTGCCGTCGAGTGTCGTCGCACTCGCAGCTGTGTCTCAGATACAAACGTTATGACTTATGGCTGTCCGTCAACGCAGCGCATCACTCTATCTCCCGCTTTGTCTCTCTCTTGTCGTTCGATCCGTTAAAGTAATATAAGTCTGGACTTATTTCAGTAAACAAGCCAGAAAAATAATTTATTCGACAATATACATACAAAGACGACGACATTTATAGGATCGATTGCACGGTTGGCACGGCGGCTGGGCAAGCAGCTGCCGCGCAGCGTGGAGTGGCGCGGGCGGGTACGGGTACGATTCTCACACGAAACAACTCTTTGTGTGATCCACAGATTGTTGTTCCGGGTCTTTTTGTATTCACGACACAGGAGAGAATAGAAAAAACATTCCGTCATAGCCAGTTGTACACTTTGGACAAAGTAGACATAATACAACACACGTCACGTATCTTGGCGCAGTAGTGCGGTGTACGTCGGTAGGAGCAACACGAGCAAACATCATCAAGAAAAATCTAATAATAAAGATAACCCCGGCCCCGGCCCCGGCCCCGGCATCCAGGTCTCGCGGCAGGCACGCAGTAATTGCATCGGAGTGTTACTGGGCGTGTTCCTCCGTCCTCCAGTCGCTGTGTAGTAGTCCACCCTCCGCCGTGTCCTGCGACACCGCACCGACTGCCACCATGTTTGCACTTTAATTGATTGTGCGGGCAACCGTTCCTACAACCGTTGGTAAATAAAGCAAATATTGTATTGTGGTAGTCAATTGACAGCGCGACATTGTTGTCACTCAACGTTTGGGTGAAGCATATAATGGTATGTATGTGTCTAGTTTAACCGACATCCCAAAAAGCAGGAGACAAAATAAAAGTAACTTACCGATACTATACCTACCTACATAATCGTATTGTGTTTGGAGCGGGTTCGAAACCTGTAACGGCAAAGTATCAATGTGACTTTATCCGAGTTTAAGAGAAACTTGGACTTATAATTTGTTCCCGCATTGAGCAAGCGTGGTGATTTTGCTCAAACCTTTTCCCTGCGAGAAGAGGCCTTTAGTCAGCAGTGGCCACTTATGAGCTGTTGATGATGATAACGAAGGTATCTATCGAGTATCTACTTAGGTTTTAATATAATTTTGTTTACGCCTTGGGGCACCGAGTTAAACTACCAGTAGGTATCTACCCACTTTTTTTTGAGGCATGAGCATCCGTTGACTTCTCCCGCCCGGGTGAGGCGAGAGGAAGTGTCAGACTCTTACTGACTAAAACCCGTTCGTACTCCTGCACTTCAAACCGGAGCCCTACCAATTCGTTAAGTCCTCAGCGGCTCCGTAGCGGCATCAGCCCAATTGGGTCCCATCTGTGGTGGCCGATGGCTCCTTGAGGCGCACGCGGAACGCGACACGCCGCACGCTCGGGTCTTATTTTGGTCGGACGGCGAGTTACCCTTGCTCGCCGTCCGCAGGCCCGTGCTTACTACGGTGGCTGGAGATTGTCTCGCGACCCCCGACACGGGCGTTGTGTCTCTCGCGACGGCTGGGAGGAGGTTTGTTCCCTCACACGCCACGCCACCGCCTTAGCAAGCATGATTGCTTCACAGAAGGAGGAGGTGGCATCTCAGTCCCCATCGCTCTGTACCATGATCTGAACCAGAACAGAACGCGAGAAGTCGCCTTCGCCGATCACATCCTTAGACATACGGCGGTGCTCACACCGCCACCGTATGCTCCACCGTGTCCTCCGGGCGGTCTTCGCAGTGATGACACCCGGGCGTTTACTCCCACGCAATCCGAAACAGGAACCCACCGAAACACACTGGCAGTAAAACTACAAAGAAATAAATATATAAAAACTGCGTTAAAAAAACCGACCACTACTATTACTGTACTGAGGTCGCCCAACTACTGATGAGTTACAAGTCGATGCCATAAGTGTTAGACAAAAGTATTCATCAATATAATTATCTTAATAGATATCTAATATTAAGCTGTTTACAATTTCGACTTCGAAAATCGGTCGGGCAATTTTAGCGGAGTAATCCTCGAACAAATGAAAAAATCAGTCACCCGAACATAGTATCCTCCTTTTTTGAAGTTGATAAATAGTTGTTTTTTTAGATTTTTAGTTTGTTTTTATGTAAAATATTGCACACAATGATTCGGGGCCCTTTTGTAACGTTTCTTTTATTTTAACATTTCACCACAATAGGTGTATGTACAAGTTCACATACACAGCACACCCAGAC